CAGCTGGAGTGTAGACTATAGTTTTTGTTCTCAGACTTGTCTTTATGCACTGTTTTTTTGGTTGAACGCGCTAATCTCATGAAATACTGGTCCGCTTTGAAAAACAATTTGCATAGTGCATTTATCGAAGAGGGCTATTAGGCTATATAATGTTCGCTACAACCAGTAGGAGCGGAGCATCGATGAAAAATGATAGAAAATCGGGTTAATATATTAACGAAGTCTATACTCACTAACATACCTATAAAGCGCTTTGTATTTGAATTAAAATTATTAGCGCAGATAACCAAAATATTGCATATGCCATCTCTCTCCCTCCTCTCCTGAAATTGATAAAAGTAGCAGAATATCGAGACCAAAGACAGATAGGTATTTACTCGATCCATCGGCAAAGCAGTTTGTCTCCGTCTTGCTGCGAACTACGTGGCGTGACTTAGGGGTGGCACTCACAAGAAAATATATTAGACGTTAACTCAGCAAATGTTGTAAATATTTTACGTGAGTTGTTCTACCCATTATACGGGGAGATTCCCGGCTCTTGGATAAGTGTCAGATATAAATAGCCTTTTTAAGCCGATATTTTATACCTTAAGGGGACGGTTACTCGAACTATTTTTTTTATTATAAGCACACTTCATTGCTAGGCTTGTGTGCCAGGCCGGGGCCCAGTTGTTGTTTTTCTAGTTATAATCCTTGAGATGTGTTTAAATGATTATCTTTTTGTATTCCCGTAATGGTTTGAACATAATGATCTGAAGGATGAATAAATAAAAGGAACGAATAACGGTAAATTGTGACCTTCATATTTACTTATGATATAATTATGGTAACAGATAATACCTGTCTTCAGACCTTCCAATCGGCGGATTTTATTTGCAATTTTCAGCCCGTACTGGCTCCGTAGCCCGTAGTCATTAAATAAAAAAAGTTTCAACCGTATAGATGCACTGATTTATTTATTTATGACGTTTCGCATCCTTTTCAAGCTGCGGAATATACGATAGTTCTGACGACGCAGCCTGAAAAAGAAGCGAAACATCATAAATAAATAAATCAGTGCATCTATACCGTTGAAACTTGTTTTTCACTTAATTAATAAGTGGTGAGCGTGAAAACCTAAGAAACAAATAGATAATACCTGGTTTAAACCGTATTTTTTGTATATGAATTAACTAATATCACTTGCAGTGTAATATTACTTGTACGACAATAAATTATAACAAGAACTTACATTACTCTATGTTCATGTAGATAAGTACATCTATGTCCTAGCTGTCTGTTAGAATAATGGCGACCTACGATTTTAATAAAAAGAAGTTTCCCACCAGCTGCACTGTGAGTGGCAACCCTGAAAATGAGCCTTTTTACTACACAGTGCCCGGTCACCTTAGTGTAACAGTTAGATAGACACATAAATCAACGTACTTACATAAGATTAAGTATTATATCTAGCAGGAAATTTGAAAATTTCCCCCATTTCACGGGAAATGGCGCTTCAGTCAGACCGTGTGCTAGACTGAACTCTGTTCAGTTCTTTGCCCAGCCCTTGTGCGGCGACCCTAGTGGACGCCAGGCATAGAAGCGGTTATTCCGTGATTCGACTTAATTGAGCTATTTTTATATATAGATGAGATTAAGATTATATTTGAGCGGAATATATTTTGACACAAGGAAGTTTGGAGTAATAAATTGATGACGGATATGGTGTTAACCTGATCTTCGTGGAGGTGTAAAACACTGAAGGATACGTAGGTTGGTGTAATATTATATTACACCCACCTACGTATCCTTCAGTACTCCTATATAATTTACTCCGACTCCAATTTCGGTATAGTAAATTGTTCTAGGAAATTAAGAGAATCACTATTCTATTTACGACTTAGAAGGTTGAAGGTTTCATTCCCGGTAAAAATTATAGAATAGAAAATTATTAAATAGGTATTATTAAAAATTACAGTCTAGTACCTAGTTACTTAAACTTTTTAATTGTATTTGCGACTGAAATTTACTTATGAGCTGTTTCAAATAAAATGTAACACCAACTTGAAAACTGCAATTTCTACTTATTATGCATATGCATACTCCTGGCTTAGGTATGGAGTTATGTTATGGGGAAATAGTGTTGATGCTGAAGAATTGTTTATTTTACAAAAAAGATGCATTAGAATTCTCGCACATATAGATAACACAGAGAGCTGTAATGAAATCTTAACGTTACCTTCAATATACATATTTGATATATCTACCTTTGTATTCAAAAACAAAAATACATTTATTAAAGTAAGTAATACACACAATCTAAACACTCGCCATAAAAATAGGTTACACCTACCTTCATCTAGGATCAAAATGTTGAATTGTAGTCCAAAGTATATGACCATAAAAGTATTTAATAAGCTACCAGAAGAAATTAGAAATGAACAAAACATTAACATATTTCAAAGGAAATTAAAAAAGCTCTTGGTAAATAAATGCTATTACTCTATAGATCAGTACCTTACGTCTAAATAAATATTATTAACAAGAAATATGTTTTGGATAGATTGATTCACATAATAATAATATAATATAATTTTATACGATTCTTAATTGCTTAATCGGAATGTATGAGTGTCTGATTTTAAAATATATAATATGTTTGTGATTGATTACGGTTGATTTTAAGGTGGGTTATATTTAGTAATTTGGTATGTATGTACATAGTTTTCATTTTATTAATATTTTATAATTCAATTCAAATTAATTATAAATATTATTTTTTATGGGATAATTGATGAAATATATTAATTTTGATTGATTGAGTAGATATTTATATTACGTATATTCAAGAAAATTTTATTTAAATTGTATATTAGATTATTATAAATTCTATTCAAGAACACCAAGTATTGCGATACCCTGACAGGGTTCATGTAACGTACTTTATAACATGTATTTAACCATCTCTGTAACTACATGAATGCAATAAATGACTTGATTATTGATTATTATTGAAAAACCTACCCTATATGCTATAGCAACTTTAAAGTGTTCTACGTATTGGTTAATCTAAGAAAGAAAATTTTGAATTATACTTTTACATCGTCCTAGTCGACATTCAATTCGCACAATTTTTTCCTCTAGTGTAATTTACTTACGATAAAAATAAGAAACTAACTTAATAAAAAAAAATATTTATAAATTGATTCAACACAATTACGAACACAAAAGAAATTTATTTAATTTGTACATAAATACTCGTAAACACATCAGAATGTGTTTACTTTTAATTATGTGAACAACCATGTATGTATTCATGCATCATTTTATTACTCATATGTGATGGTTGTTGACAGTTCAATCAGTCGCAAGGTCATCGCACCTAATAAAGTGCGCCGTCTTATAGGCCGTAAAAATTGCCATACTTCAGAGGTCAACGGCCCGGGCCCGGACGTTGACCCTGCACTCTGAACCTACCTATAGTATATGCCATAGGCAATCGCCATCCGGCCTACCTCAACGTCGTCACAGGTGCATTGCACAATACTGATTGCACTTATTGTCCCTTTAATCATATGCAGATAAGATCCAAATTTGCGTGAATTTTAATTTTATACTTATTCTGATATTGGACATTCTTTTCGCGGCATATGGCAGTCGTATTGTTTGCCCCATAGGTGATTATGCTAAATTCAGCCTTGATTAAGACGCTTTTGAGTTGATAGTCGCCTGTTGCTTCGACAGGTGGTTGTTTGAATAAGGATTCCTTATAGAGACGTCCACTAAATTTTACGATTGCAATTATAACGTTATTTGTTTGTTATTGTCGTGAGGAGAGTGGAGGAATCAACTTTAATGAAATTTAACAAATCAATCAAATTTCTCTGAGTGGCGCTGAGTTCGATCGTTTTGTTTTCGCTTGTCCCGAGTACTTCGAATTCTATGCTATGTTACTTTAAATAGCAATTTTATGTCAAAATCTTATTTTTCATATAAAAACTTTATTTTGTTTCTGTGGGATTCTGAAAAAACTAAAGTAAACGCGGACGAGGTCGCGGGCATCCGCTTGTATGATTTTAATATTTTCCCAATATTCATTCATTTCATTCCAAAATCACACTTCACACTAATATTATAAAGGCGAAAGTTTGTTAGTGTGTATGTTTGTTACTTCTTCACGTCAAAAAGACTGCAGCGATTTTAATAATAAAAAAAATTACGGACACTTTAGTCTGAAAGAATTTTATTATTATTATTTCCTTTATTGCATTAAAATACATACAAAATTATATTTCTAAATATTAAATTTTTACAATGTATAACATTAAAAAAAATAACATTTAAAAATACAAAAATGCAGTTCCCCATCGGCAGCAAGATCAGGGTCCCTGCTACCGGCGGTTAAGGATCCATAGACAGGAACCTCCTCACTATACGGGCCGTGTCCAGAAGAACTGCCTTCTGCATTTGAATTATTATTATTATTATTAATAAAATTTGGTATGGAGATAGCTGACACTCTGGATTAACACATAGGCTACGTTTTAGTGCGGGAAAATATCCCTAATAAACCGAGGGTAACACCGCGGGGCACAGCTAGCAACCTATAATTTTCAAATTCTTTTGAATGCATTTATATTAATGCGTAGGTAGTACATAGAAAAACAAAAGATTTAGTTTAATCATGCTATCGTTATTTGTTTCCGTTTGGTTTTTCCAATAGATACATTATCATACTGGTGTGTTATTTGTATTTAGGGAATCCTAACGAATGGTCGATAAAATGTGATGTTTATATTATAGTTATACCCCTTTTTGATTGTTTCGTTTCACATTGGGTTTAACCGAAGTTCGGCAGCTTTTACCAAACCTCGTCTTCGGCCGAATTTGAGTTAGATGTCCATCTGCAGTAGAAAGAATGATATATTACCTTGCTGTTAAATATTTTCAAAAAAGTTTAGCAACGTAGTGATTTTTACTTTGTATTATATTTATGCTATACTTTTATAAAAACAATCGAAAAGTTTCTGTTTTTAAAATCGGCTAACTATTTTCAATAACAAAAAAGATTCTAATATCAATCTACTTTGCTATGATATTTTTTTACTTCAATTGATAAAACATACAGTTTCTGTAAATGATTCGTGTTGCTTAGACTTTTTCGATGTGTGTAATATTAAAATTCATATTTTTTTAAAGTATATTTTTGATACTTGATATTTTTTTTTATCTAAGCAAAAAAATAAACACGAACGAACGTTATACCTATTGGCTTGCAAATCATCATTTATTAAGTTTTTTTAAATACATTTGTTTTTCTTCTTTAGCCTTACGAAATCACCCCGGGTTTTGGCTGACAAATTAAAATATTTCTAGTATATACCTATACATAGCAGGGACTGTCAGTAAACCTAAACTGACAAGAAGTGGTCGACAACTATCAAAGGGGCCTTTGCCACATAAAGCTCTAAAAGCTGCCGAACTTCGGTAATACCGAAAGTGAAATGAATTTCGGTGCATCTCTACTAATAAATATACAAACCGTAGATAAGTAAATAAATATAAAAATTCATATGCGTAGCTTAAAATCTTTCATCCCAAAGCCCCATAATAAAAACATAACGTGCATGGGTGTGCGTGTGTGTAAGCGAACACACACATACGCACGAACAACGCATGTGTTACACGCAGACACGGCAGCTGCTAAACTTGAATCAGACTGCATGTGGTGCTCAAATATTCTGTACCGATATTAAAAATGGCCGTTAAATATTTATAGTTACTGAGATCAAGGTATAGAGAGCATTTTTTCCTATTACATAATAGAATCGTAGAATTCGAAATTTATAAAGTAAAACTATATTGCTATAGTTTACGGTAGTATTAATAAAGACATACCCTATATTTAAGTTTTAACATTTAGAATTTTGGGCTTCTTTATGAAAGGCGTGTAGAAGCATTTTTGCAGACCGGCAAGGTGAAGATGGTTGGTATGGCAGTTTATAACTGCTGTACCAGCTATCTTCGCGTTTGGACTTTATCACCACTTAACATCAGGTGGGGTCATTTGCCACAATAATATATAGAAATAAATAGGAAGATAAAATAATATATATAACAAATAGTAGGAAGGATAATAAGTGAGTATGGAAAAATGTACCCATATGTAATTCATGGATAGCAAAACATTATGTAGACGATTACTTGTTGAAACGCTTAATATTTTCGAGTGAACCGTTCAAAAACAAAGTTTTCTGTACTTTTGTAAGCTGCTTTTATTATAGTAAAACTATCAACGGTTAGATCGTATTGTCCCCTTACCGTTGCAAAGTTGTCAGAGCTTATTGTGATATTTATTGTTTCGTTGCCTTTGTTCTAATTCATGTCTAGACGGACAAATTCTCTTATTTAATTTCTGTTATTTTATGAATCTTTTGTATAATTGTACTTTGAGATATCGTACGTTTATTGAAATAAATAAATTCAAAACGATATTAAATATGATTGAAGGAAAACGACATTGAAATAAGAATCAAGAGGGTGATAGAATAAGACCAATGTTCAAGGTAGTTAATTCAGCAGCTCTGATTAATATTGCATTAGAATTTAGGCAAATTTTTGCAATAATTAACAAAGTTACTAAACCGCGTTTAGTTAACGCCGAAATGGTTCTGTGTTAATACGTGGAGTGCATACAACAAACATGCAATGCAGTTATTATGCTATTTTAAACATGGACGGAGTGGTTTTTATTAAAGTAAAATTTTATTTAAATTAAAACATCTAGCAGTTGAATGCTTAAACAAAAATATGATAAGTTACTTACGTATTGATATATTGTTAAGATTTAATTTTATTTTCACGTACGTAGATGAAATAATTGATTATTCAGCAGTGAGAAAATTGTCTTTGTAAAAATTGGTAGGAATTATAAGCGTTGAGGGGTTTTTCCTCGACTGACTTTTTTCTACTTGACTGACTTTTTTCTACTTGACTGACTAGCGTCAATGACTCATTGCTTGGTATAGGTACATCTTTGAATCCTACAAACTTGTCCTGTCCGTCGGTCATAGATACAAGACCTGTTATTTCTCATATATTATCATCACATAATGACGACTTTATAGACGACGTGAGAGTACAATGAACGGTGCTCGTTCGCCTTGAAACACCGTCAGAATCGGTACCTACATTAAAAAAAACTATCCAGTCCATTCAATGAGATCATTTTATTATCACCGGCACACCGACACTGAATATTGTTTGAGTAAGTAAGCTGTTAATAGCTTTAAAAAGGTATGCTTTCGAATGTTTGAGAACCACCCGTATTTGGGCTGTAATATTTAGGGTTCTTTTTTGTTAGTCATCTCATCCGTAACGTATGGGCGCCTTTGCCTGCTCCAACTTTTTTTCGAAAACTTGTGACCCCCAGTTATGATTCGACCGTTGACGGGAGCGGTTGTCCTCGCGCGCTCGATTTGAATTCTAGTCATTGTGTCCAAATTGTTTAATATTAAGCTCTCGTGTCGTACGTAGTCTAAATGTGTTTCTAGGTTTATTAGTAGCAGTTAGTGTGTGTTTTTTTTTAATTTAAAATTTATTTAATGGTAATTGCGAAAAGAAGACTGATTTTTTAATGAACGCATTTGGATTGCTTTGGTAAGGATTTTTATTGTTTGTTTATATACTTACACCAGTTTTATTGAGGTTTATCATTGTTAATCACACGTTTCTTGTTTGTAAGGAAAATCATCAAAGACCTCTACGGTTATTATTTTGAAACAGTTCGATAACTTCTGTTTACTTCAAAGCTAAATGGTTCTACAAAATTTACCTGTTTGTTATGTAACTTACTTTATGACTAAACATTTAGATGTACCATAGTATTGAACACAGTAAACAGAAGATAAACATTTTATTATTAGTATTATCAATACGTATGTAAGACAATGAAACTGGTTTGTGTTTAAATAAAAATAATTCAAACGATCTTTATTGTTCATGTAATTGGTTTAAAAACGATACGGCCTGCTGGTAATTTGATTCATAAGTTAGGCTAATATAATTATTTGGTATACATATATATTGTAGCAAACTACGATTCTTTGTAGGTATTCGATAAGAGTAGCTGTAAGAGTAGCTCCAGTCACGGATGTTTAATATGTATTTCTATATAAATATATTTATATATGTACAGTATATGTATTCTATCCGTTACCCTAGTATCCCATAACAAGTCTTTACAGTGCTTACTTTGGAGCCAGGCTAAGACTTTTTGGTGTGATTGTTGAAATTAAATAAAAATATATAATAATATCTTTTGACAAACTGATTCGAGATTTGTGATTTTTTTTATGATGGACAGAAAACTTAAAACATACGTAGGTAAATTATTATAACTCGTTCAATTGATCAATTCGTTTTTTCTTTCGTTCTCTCGCTTGGGTTATTTATCGCAAGATTAAGGTGTACAGAGGACGGTGGCTACATATCACGGCCGTCTGGATTTACCAGTTGGGGTCGTCAGGTCATGTTGCTAGCTACGTACCTACCACGCCAATACATCGCCACAAAACATACAACCTTTTTCATTTTATCCGTATTGGCATTAACAAGGGTGTCATTTGACTAATTCTTGGTCGATAAATATTTCAATATTCCCTTTTTTTTGGGTTTTATAACTTCGATGTTGTAATGCGTGTTCAATTTTGAGACCTGACTTTAAAGATTAATTTAAATATATGAAATTTTAATGCCATTTAAAGTTTTATTTTGTCTTATTCTATCGTTAAAAAGTGACAGCAATAACTTAAACCAAACTTCAAAGTTATAGTCCCGCAAACTTTTGAAAATAACGATGATTTATTGCTACTTCCATTCAATTGAAAATTTTTTTGTGCTTTAAAATGAATTTTGGTAGGTTAACAGGAATAACATAAACTTAACTGAAACTTAACCTTTGTTTACACTGTAAGCCGTTCAACAAGTACCAAACAGACGAAATTGCCGGTGAAAATCTCATCGAAAGTTCTAGAACGAAAGTGACCTGTGTTTTTTACGAAAATAATTATTTAGATTTCAATGAATCCCCCACAGAATAATAAATAATTTATCAAGAACAATTCCGACTGTTGTTGGGCTGTTTTAATCGAAAAATAAGCTGGTGTATGCACGTGTTTGTTTTTGAAAAAATAACGTTAAATAAAGATGCACTGATTTATTTATTTATAGACGTTTGGCATCCTTTTCAGGATGAGTCGTCTGAATAACATTATTCACGACGACACGTCCTGCGACTTAAAAGCATTAAGAAAGACAAATAAATTACATAATACCTATAAATTACATAATAAATAATATGCGAAACGTCAAAAATAAATAAATCACTACATCTATACCACAGAACACAGAAAGAGGTAAGAAGGGAGCGCGTAAACCGTTTTTAGGGAACCGATGTCGCCGGCTCGCCCCCACTACACTTCCACCTTATAGATAATAGCCAATCAAAACGACGCGACATCAAACAATCCACCCAATCAGCGCCCACACCCGAGAGCGACGACGCAATCAGAAACAAGTTTTGGTCAAGTTATGAGCATTTGCTCACACATTACTGTGGCGCGCCTGCGCGCCGCCCACAAGGCCCTTCTAACCTCTTTCTGTGTTCTGTGATCTATACCGTTGAAACTTGTTTTATTTAATGAGTGGTGTGCGAGAAAACCTGAGAAAGAAACATCTTAGCTTCATTTTAGTAAACGAATTCTTGTTGTATTGTTATTATATGCTATGCTATACTGTCGATACAGTGTACTATTGATTTCGGGGAAGGTACTTTCGATTCATTACCCGTCGATCGAGCATTTTCGATACGGCAACAGTCGATATTATGAACCATAATTGGTAACTATGAAACGGCCCTGGTTTCAGCTAAGCGAGTATCCTATATATATAGTATATAATATCGTTTCTAAGTTTATATTGTACTACTAAAAATTACATCTTTCTTACAGTCACGTAAGTCTGGGGTGACCGCAATCTCACTATTTCGGGTAAATAAAATTACGTTCAACGGACTCGCCTGTCTGTGGTTACAATTTGACATTATATGGAAATTACTTATATGGAACAGACAGGACAGAATTAATTATATGGAAATAATAACTGTATATACCGCTTATATATCACAGCCACTACCTTGCCTATTCATAATTGAACTCTTGTAACGTCATTAATATTTACATCTAAACTAAAAATAGAAGTTATAAATTCTTAGCAATTAGGCGAGTGCCAAACCGTGTCTCGAATGAATAGATAAAATTCCTAGAAGTCGAACGTAAAAATGTAATTTAAACTTAAAATTAATGAATGTCGAATAAATAAATGCTCTCTCACAGTAAGACCCATTCGTGGTTTCTATAGAACAACTTGACCTTTTGAAATACGATCCACAAAATGTCGGCAATTGTGAACTATCGATATAATAAATATTTCCAAGACACACCAATTAGCCTAGCCCCAAAGTAAGCACTGTAAGGCTTGTGTTATGGGATACCAGGGTAACGGATAGAATACATATACTGTACATATATACGCATATTTATATAGAAATACATATTAAACATCCATGACTGGAGTACAATTGCTCGTACTCATCACACAAACATCTGCCCCCACCGGAATTCGAACCCGGGACCTCTCGAGTCGGCGACACCATGAAACCCGGCGTACGAACCACTCTGCCACGGAGGTCGTCAAAAATGATAATGTCGTCAGAAACGATAAATGATTTTTCTGCAAATTTTAGACAAGTTCTTACCTACTTTATGTTTGATTGCTGAAATTTTCTTCCATATTATCGTATTTAAACTTCGCCAATCATTATTGTCGACCAAGCCTGTGCATATGCTTGCCAACCCTACTATATAATATAGTATCCTACTATATTAGGGGGATCAAATACTATATTTCTAATAAAAAATATAGTAGGCGAGACTACTATATTTTGCTTAAAGCAGACTTTTGCCGGTTAAAGCTATCTTAAAAATAAAAACTTAATTATTAAGGCTTAAAGCAGCAAAAATATATTCATTTCAAAAATAAAGTAAATATTTTAACCACATACTATTTTTTTTTTAATTTTTTATCATCTACTATATTTTTAGAGGTAACAGCGTCGAAAATACTATATTTGATAGAAAAATAGTTGGTAATCCAGGTAGGGTTATCATATCGGAAGGCGATCCAATGAAAATGGTGGGAGCGAAATAGATTCATTTAGCCTCGGATTACTGAACAAAGGGATTGTATAAACCTTTCGTTCTGTAATCTGAGCATACAGCAGACTAACAATAAAAATCGCTATTTAATTTTACAAATTTTTACTTAATCTTAATTAGTGTAAGTCGCAGAAGATACCTGATACGGCAGAAATATGTGCCGCTCCAGCCATCCTCATCTTGTTGGACTGAACCATGAAGCTCTATAAACTGTAAGCTTGTGTTATGGGATACTAGGGTAACGGATAGAATACATATACTGATCTCTTATCTATTAGACAAGTCCGTCCGTCCGTCTGTCTGTGGTGCTGTTTCAGCGGCCAAACCGTAAGAGATAGATAAAGAGAATATTTAAGTTATAAGTTAAGAATAGTCTGATAAGACTACAAACCGGATTTGAGTAACGTAGCACTTCCGGTTTTCGAGAAATCACGAATTTCAAACGAAACCACACAAAATCTCCGAAATTCTCAATTAATTAAATACATTTTTTTTTGTAAATCAGGTTTTGGTGAACATTTGGTTCACTGGTTTGCTAGTACATTATATAAGTTACTAGCTCACCCAGCGAACTTCGTACCGCCATAAAAATAGGGACTGGTGGTAGAAAGGTGAAAATTTGGGATTTTATGTATTTTTAATGCCACATTAAAAACAAATAAAAAATAAAAAAATAGTCCAAAAAATAAAAATTAAATGTTAGGGGTGGACAACCCTTATCACTATGGGATATGAAAAATACAGAGTAGCCGATTCTCAAACCTACTGAACATGCATGCATAAAGTTTCATAAAAATCGGTCAGGCCATTTCGGAGGAGTATGGTAACTAACATTGCGACACGAGAATTTTATATATAAGATATTTATATAGTAATGCATATTAAACATCCATGACTGGAGTACACATGATCGTATTCATCACACAAACATCTGTCCCCACCGGGATTCGAACCCGGGACCTCTCGAGTAGGCGACACGATGAAACCCGGCGTACATAACACTCGGCCACGGAGTTTGTCAAGCTCTGCAACCTTACTCGCCAACAGACACATAGTATCATCAAAAAGTAGTATTATTTTAGTGTGGTCATTTGTATGGTGGAGAATATTTCACCAGGGGGGGCCTCCAATTTATTGTTATAGCAGACATATCAACTTGGAAATGCATTGTCAAAATTCAGTACGATAATTTAATCAGTCGGTTATAAAAAGTATTTATCTTTACGAATTAATATTACTCTCGCGTTATAATCTACTTGACTCGAATGAATATTTTTATTCGATATGGCTCAAAAAATATTTATCGAATATATGTGTTAACTTTTTTTTATTATTTTCATTTAACGGTTGATAATTATATTCAACAATACTGCAAATCGGTTG